GGCGAGCTATGGGGGGAAAAAGAGGAACAACTGTAATAATCTGAACAATAAAGATTTATTTAAAAAAACAGTAGAAAGTAATTGCATGGACAAATGCAATTAATGTATAGGGCAGACACCATGCCTCTCATTTGAGGCCAATAACAAGGTATTTTACATTGAAGGAAACTGAGGCATGGGTAGAAAAATGGAAGACAGTGTTAGGCCAAGAATCTCATTATTGGAAAAAACAAAAAGAGTAAACATCCACTAATGGAGGTAACAAAGACCAAATAAGATAGAGTTCACTAATATTTTATATGTCCAACCCCATCCACATAAGGTAAAGAAATAAACTAGCCATTTTACAGCTGGTTATAGCCAACCTTTCATCTAGTTAAGAGTAATGGTGAGCTCACTGAGTTAATAGGTATGTAAACTCCAAGGCCTGCTCTTTCGATTTTCAGAGATTATGAATCCACCCACAAATAGTAACAGAGAATATAAACATGCTATTGCCTTCCCCAGCACAAAACCCCAAAAAGTCTGCTCTCTAATTCTTACCAAAAACATATTTGCAACCTCTGGTAACAAATAGAATAGAAATGTGGCTACATTAAAACCTTCAGATGTACTAAAAGAAACATTTCTATATAAAATATGAAACAACTCCAAAACATAGATCAGGAAGTGGTCTATCAAATACAATACAATTTGGGACAAGTTGAAGATGAATATCATGAGCCAATATATACTTCTAAATATCCAAGCGCTGTTGGATTTCCCTGAAAGAAATGTAGGTCTTAAAGATTTTTATTTAGAACAAAGACAAATGAGGGTGCAGACAAATCATAGGAGAGATAGCAAGCATTCTTCTGAGGGTACATTTCCATATGGAGGAAGGACAAGGGAAATGGGATAAAGAAGAGATTATGTGTACATGCCAGGTTCAATTTATCTGACTTCTAAATCAGAGAACCTATAAAGGGAGATAATGTGAGGCTCAACGTTGGTTGAGCAGAAAGAAAGAAATCATCAAACAGATGACCATGTTACTGAGAGCCACATGCACTGTCTGTCCTAGGTGATCTATTCATCTGAAAGGAGGGAATACCAGTGCTTAGGAAAGAAGTTTTTTGTGAGAAAGCATTGTGAGACAAGAAAAGTAAACTAAACTATCCAGATAGCCACACTACTACCATGCATAATAACTTCAAGCTCTCACCATATTCTAGTCACTATTCTTGAAGTTTTACAAACACTAAGTCTTTCAATTCTCAAAAGAACCTCAATGAGGTAAGTACTCTTATTATCTCCATTTTACAGATGAGGAAAATGAGGCTCACAGAAGTTGAGTAAATTTCCTATAGTTATACAACTAGGGTATATAACACCCAGAATTTGAACTCAAGCAGTCTGGTTTAAAGTTCAGACTTTTAACTATTTTGTTGTGTTGCCTTTCCCACATTAATGTTAAAAAATTGGCAAACCCATAAGGTACAAAGGCTTTTTATTTATACAAGAAATAATGACATACCTTGTACTGTAAGCTCTGCTTGAGCTTCAATTGTTTCATTTCCATTATCAGCTACACAAAAATAAGTCCCAGCATCGTCCTCAGTGATATCACTGATCTCCAGGCTACCACCTGCCAGCAATACCAATCTTTCAGAGCTGCATAAAAAAATTTGATACATTTTAAAACTAGGAATATGAGAAATTCTTCACATAAAACAGAGAAAACACTTAAGCAGTATTATTATTTATATGGCTTTAGATATAACCTTTTTTCTACCAAGATTCATCTGGATATTTATAACATCATTCAAGGGCCATACAAAATTATCAACTTAAAAATTAGCAGCTAAATTTGGTCAAACATTCAATTAACTCACCTCTAATGTCTTGGCAGGGCCAGACCAAATGATTTTGTAGGCCTTATATGGCCTACGGGCCGGACGTTCCCCATCCCTGCTTTAGATGGACAGAGACTACATAAAATTATCAGAATTTAATTTAGTACAATTTGCTTTCCTCATTTTTTTCATGCATAAATATCACGAATGCAAATCAGAATGTGATAATAAATTATCTCTGACACTTCTAATTATTCCCAAAGGGATACCACTTTTGTGACCGATTCCACTACCCACAGTATATCCTTGCCTCCCTATTCTGCCCAGCTTTTGTTTTTTATTATTTTGCAAATTATGTAATTTTTGTTGTTGTTAATCCTCACCCGATGATATTTTCCCATTAATTTTGAGAGAGAGTGGAAGGGAGGGGGGAGACAGACAGAGAGAGAAACATCAATATGAGAGAGACACATCGATTGGTTGCCTCCAACCCAAGCCCCAACCAGGGTGGGGATTGAGCCTACAACTGAGGTATGTGCCCTTGACAGGAATTGAATCCACAACCCTTTAGTTAGCGGGCCAACCTCTATCCACTGAGCCAAACTGGCTAGAGCACAAATTATGTAATTTTGAAGTCTGGAATCAACCTGAGAGTTACTCCACCCCAACTATGGCCATTGAGATAACTAATAGAGAAGGCAAAATGTCAGGTCAGAAACAGTAAGTGAGGGGGTCTCAGTGCCTACTGAAAGTTTCCTACGGTGGCTTTGATAGGAAAGGAAGGAAAGAGGAAGAGAAGGGAAAGGAAGGGAAGGGAGAGAGAAGGGCAGCTGCCAGAGAGCAGCTTCTTGGGTGTGGTGCCTGGGCATGAATCAGCCACCATTATGCCATTATCCACAAGAATGCTGATCATTACCAACCCAACTCTACCATGTGATTTAAGTCTATTTAAAGAGAATGAAGAGAAAGTAAAACAATCCTATAACATCAAGAAAGAAATCACAAATCAATATTATCAAATTTTAATAAAGTGAACTAGTTTAGTTCATTTGAAGACTTTGGAGGTTACAATTTTATTTTTATTTTGAGGTTCTACATCTAAACTGGTTTTCATAGACAAATTTTTCTCTCAAATCTTAAAATAGTTACATTTTTTTGTCTGTATCTATGCTCAGACATGTTCTGATCATTTGGCTTTTCATATAGAATTCCTGATGGGAAAAAGAAATCAGAGGGAATGACTATTCAGTCTGTGCCACACTTAAAATTCTCATCCTAAGTGAAGTGTGATTCTGGCTTAAATTTCAGTACCCTGTGAGTTTGGGTAATTGGTCTTCCTGAATCTGATAAACAAGATTAAGTTTCTGGACAAAGAAAGAGGAAAACCAGAATCAGGTTTCATAACTTCTCTAAGAAATACCCTGCAAGGTCATTATTAAACCTTATTAAGGTGGCCTTCCTATTAGAAATATCTTAATTATGCCCTCAAATCCCAACTTTATGTGATGGGACAGAGAAGCAAGACAATTTAAAATGAAATAGACCAAGAATTACTGGGGCAAAATAGGTGAGAAAAAATTACAAACATTAAAATATTGTACTTTATCCTTGGACAAAATCACTACTAAGCTTCAGAAACAGAAATAACGTACACAAATGGGAAATCAGCAATACATACATATAACACTCAGCTGAGAGGAACATAATCTGAAACCCTAAGTTGGTATGGTTCCTTTGAAATCAAGACAGTATTGATCTCTAATAATTACCCTAAAAATCTTCCTAATACTTGTTATCCCTCACATTTGCCATAACTGAGTGCCAGTACAGCAGAAGTCAATCTTTCTTAATGGAGTTGATTTTACTCCCCTTGAAAGAAGTCTGAGAGGAAGAACATCTTTAACTTGTTCACAAAACTGTATGATGGCTAACAGTAAAATGGCAATCAAGCCTTTACAACTCCAATTTTCAAAAATGCAGCAAAAGAAAAAATATGTGAAAAAGTATGCCTTCTCAGTGGACCCAATTTGAGTGTGGCTGAACATAAGGGGGTGGGGATGGGGAGGGAGAGAGGGAGGGGGAGAGGGGGTGGAGAGAGAGGGAGGGAGAGAGAGAGAGAGACTGAGTAGCCAGGGTCAGTTTAGGAGAGCTTGGTGTGCTAAGGAGACCTACTTTTTGGCCAAGTGGGAAGGCCTTTAGAAGATGACTAATATGATCAGATTTAGTGAAGAAACAAGAAGAGTGGGGAAAAAACTAGAAGCAGGAAGTTTATTGTAAAGTTATTTTAATGGTTCAGAATTAAAAAGAGATAAACTATGGCAGTAACGACAGGGGTAAAGAGAAGGCAAAAAGTAATGACTTCTTTAATAATGTTAGATGCTGAAAGTAAGGAGAGGGACTTATTCATTAAGTTAACACATTTATTGGTGTGCCTGTGTGTGTCAAGTAGCAGCTAGGGATGCAGCAGTAAGCAAACACACAATCAATGCTATCATGCAACTCAGTGGGAAAGACAGAAATAAAAGATGATAATTCTACATGGTGCTGTATCAAAAGAACCTGCCAAGAAATTAGAATAGAGAGGTTTCCTTGACCACAGTAACCCTTGAGCTGAGATCTGAAAAATGAGTAGGAGCTAACATAATCAGGGGGAGCAAAGATTTCAGAAAGAAGACTAGCCCCTGCAAAGGAACTGGGGCAGAAAGGATCACAATGCATTTGGGGATCTGAAAATAAACAATGTGGCGAGTGTAATAAGAGAAAAAAGAGAGAGAGATGAGTATGAAGCAGACCACACAAGGCTTTGAAAGCCATTTTAAGAATCTGAGTCCTGTCCCGGCAAAGTGGCTCAATTGGTTGGAGCATTATCTCGTATACCAAAAAGTTTGTGGGTTTGATTTCTGGTCAGAGCACATACCTAGGTTGTGGATTCAATCCCTGATTGGGGAGCACATGAGGGGCAACTGATCAATGTTTCTCTCTCACATGGATGTTTCTTTTTCTCTCTCTCTCTTCCTCTCTCTCTCAAAAACAAAACAAAACATAAAAACAGCACATATCCTTGTGTGAGGATTTAAAAAAAAAAATTGAGTCCTTAACCTAGAAACGGTGTAAATCCATGGAACATTTTAAAAAGTGGCTGGGGAGTTGCCAGTGATGTGGTGAGTTTAAGCACTGAAAAGACTGGTTTGGCAGGAAGATGCATTTGGAATGAGGCCAGAGTACATGCTGGGAGGAAAAGTTACAAGGTGACTGCAGTAATTGAAGGGACACTTAACAGTAGCTTGGAAGGAGGTAAAATGACAGAACTTGTAGATAAATGAACTGGAAAGAGAAGCTGAGGAAGAAACATGTGTCAAAGGAGACTCTTAAGGTCGGGGCAGTAAGTGTGGAGGGAAAACTGCTTGTTTATAACTTAGGGTTTTTTTTGTGTGTGTGTGTTGTTATTTGAATGGGAGAGGTAAGCCTTTTAGAGGCAAAAGAGGAGCCAATGGAGAGGAAAATTTTGGGGAGAAATTCATAAAAGTGCTACAAAGGATGGACACTGATAAGATTTAGAGCACAAAAGGACTTCTTAGATACTCTGAAACCGCAGGACAGGAAGAGTATGTAAGTCATATATATACTCTGGCACAAAATTTATTGTCATTTTTTTTCTTTAAACCTTTTACTTTGAGGTAACTATAGATTCAGATGCAGTTCTAAGAAATAATTCAGAGAGATACCATGTGCCCTTTACCCAGTTTCCCCCAGTGATAACATCTTATAAATCTATAGTAGTGTATGTCAACCAAATACTGACACTTCCATCACCACTGCCTCATATTGCTCTTTTATACCCTCATCCATTTCCTTCCCACTCTCACCTCCTCCTTAACTCCTGGCAACCACTAATCTGTTCTCCATTTTATTTTATTTTTTTTAATATATTTTATTGATTTTTTACAGAGAGGAAGGGAGAGAGATAGATAGTTAGAAACATCGATGGGAGAGAAACATCGATCAGCTGCCTCCTGCACATCTCCCACTGGGGATGTGCCCGCAACCCAGGTACATGCCCTTGACCGGAATCGAACCTGGGACCCTTCAGTCCGCAGGCCGACGCTCCATCCACCGAGCCAAACCGGTTTCGGCCTGTTCTCCATTTTAGTAGAATGTTATTTAAATATAGGGTGTCCCAACCAGTGTATACATACACTTTGAATAATTATAAAGGCAGTGTTTATTAAAAAAAAACATTTCATTTTCAAAACTGAGCTGTCAGCTGTTAAAGTGTATACATTTTTGGGGGACACCCTGTAGAATCACATAGTATGTAACCTTTGGGGACTGGCTTTTTTTAACTCAGCATAATTCTCTAAAAATTGATCCAGGTTGTGGTACAGATCAATGTTTCATTCCTTTTATTGCTTAGCAGTAATTCCACAGTATGGAGATACCATAATTTATTTAACCATTCATTCAATGAAGGACATCTGGATGGTTTTGAGTTAGTTATGAATAAAATCACTAAAAATATACATGGACAGGTTTCCATGTGAATGTAAATTCATTTCTATGGGATAAAAACCCAAGAGTGTCAATATCAGGTCATATGGCAGTTGCACATATAAAGTGTTACTTTTTTAATATGAGAAAACAACCAAGTTTATTGCATATGTACATACAGGGTTCTATAAGAATATGGGAACCAGAGACAATTTGGACAATTTGGGGTTTGAGCTAAGGATAAAGAACAGGGGAGGTCCAGGTTTGGAACTCCAAAGGGGAGGAAGGCAATTTATATGGAGATGAAAAGCAAATGTTTGGTAAACAAAT